TATATATATAGACATACATAAATGCATACATACATACATACATTATATATATACATACATACATATATACATACATACATACATACATACATACATACACACACACACATACATACATACATACATACATATATACATACTTACTTACTTACTTACTTACAATACATATATATATACATACTTACTTATATACTTACTTACTTACCCACTCACTCACTCACTCAATTACTTACTTACTTACTTACTTACTTGCTTGCTTGCTTACTGACTCACTTACTTATACACACATACACACACATATATATAATATATATATATATATATATATATATATATAAATGTGTGTGTGTGTATGTGTGTGTGTGTGTGTGCTTGTGCTTGTATGTTTACGTATACATACAAGTAAATACCTATATATGAGCAAAATATTTAATATATTTGCGCACAATATTATATATGTACATAACTCTGCAGTACAATATGAATTCCGATCATATAGCTGCTGGTTTAAAATCTGGCTATATCCGCTCTATGATCAGTCTTTGCTCGCTGTGTAAACCGTTCGAGTAGACATTTCATCGACAATACCTTTTTGGCTTTCTCGTAAAGAACCCGGCATTGTGGACACTATATGATATGCCAACAGATTCGCTTAAATCGTAATGATGTGAAATAACTTTATCGTGGGTGGTATCTTCAGGATTACGCTGTATGCTGTACAGCAGTTGTCGCATACAATGAATATATAGTGGTAGGTGCTTTTGTAATATAAACACCCGAGTTATTTTTATTTATTTATGCAATTGTTGGTTCGGGAAGGTTGGGTTGGGTTGCTAGGGTTCCGTACTTCAGTATCGTTTCCACACACTGCCACGGCCCACAGGGTTGTTAGGTTTTTAACAATACGATGCTTCATAGCCTCTTGAGAGTCCTGAATAATCAACATTTTTTTTTCAGGGGGCTATGGACGCTTTCATAGCCTCCTCGTTCAATTTTAAGGAGGCTATGATGCTTTTTATATATTTTTATTTCACAGGGGACATAGCCTCCTAAATTGAACACGGGATTTGAAGAAAAATATATATAATGTGTTGTGGATGTATTGTAAATATTTCTGGGCCCAATAACCTCAATCCAAGATACATTTGATGCATACACAAATGTTGGACTTGGTCCGATAAAATTTAACAGGATGTGGAGGCAATGAATTGCTTGACAGGAGCAAATCGCACAAATATTTAGGCGTTGTATGGAAACAGTCAGAATATCATTTTTGATCACTCCTCAGCTTCCGAAAATACATCGAGGTGGGGAATGGGCTTCTTAACAGCTGGGACCACAAATTGAATTTCAGAAGCGGGGCATTCCCCCTTGACAGTCGTTTCATGTTAATGAATGGGTAAATTCGTATCCGTCAGAAAGCGTATTTATTCTGGTATTAACATCTGTAGATGTAAGTGCCGGTAGTAGACTCTCATGAACTCTGTTTCCTATCGGCGACTACGAAATAAGTTTGGCTATGTATGTGAGATTGGTCGTATATAGTATTGTTGGAGCTGCTCAAATGTACGTGAAACCCCCTCGGAATCCTTCATGGTCAGGATATTGCTGCTAAATTTTTACCAATACATGGACACAATTCCCGACCACTGTTCGTATCAGTCATCGCAATGCGGTCTACCGTGCTATCAGGTTTAGAATTACAAATGTGGTCATGGTAAACAACAGCCGCTCTAAACCCACACCAAAATATGATATAGTATATTATCTTCCGCGACAGGTATTTGTTCATATTTCAGTATTCTGGTCATGTATTAGGTTCGCTTTCGATCAATAAGGTGTTTTCGTATAGAAAATTCAGTTATGGCGAATTCATTGCCCTTTGCAGGCTCGTCTATATGTTTGAATCCGATTTGTAACATTGACCAGAAATTCAGGGACACCTAGCGGAAACCCCAGCACAATATTTGTATCAGCTATTTATTTTTTGAGCCTCCACTGTTGCGATTCAGTTAATAGAGTCTCCCAGTTGTAGCAACGACAGTACCCCCATCGTATACTTGGAAGTACAGCTGTGTGGCTTCTCTCAGTCAATACCCGATAACTTTTGTATTTATTTTTATTAATATACTAACCGAAGAAAGAAAAAAAATTAAAAAGTGACATATGTATTTTCCAATATAAAAGTAAAACCATCTGTGTATTTTAAAAAAACAAATGGTGGATGTTTAATTTTAGTGAGAGGTATATTTGAATGACATTGTAGAATACTTCATATTTTCTTTATTTTAAATTTACATTCACCGTTGATCACTGTACGGGCGGGTACGGCGTATGTACAGTTGTATGCATAGTATCGTACTGCGGTCTGCGTAGTGACTAGTGACTTGTAGTGCGTACTGCGTACATACATATTGGTAATCTCGTCAGATCAGTTTTTTTTTTGGTAATACATCTGAAGTGATTTGCAAAGATAAAAAAGTAAAAGCAATTGGTGGTGACCATAGTAATCAATTTCATTGGTTTATTATAACATAGTTTATTGTGAGTTTTTGCTCTCTGCGACTCTTTTTCTGTTCACTCATCACTGTTCCGTGTTCACTGTTCAGTGTCACATGATTATAAACTATAATTCAGGCCTGAGAGGCTGAGACTCGGAGACTGAGAGGCTCAAGGCTGAGACTGAGAGGCTGAGAGTTACTGAGTCACCTGAGTAGTGAGTGCCTCTCCTCTCTCTCAGAGTCTCTGGGGTAAATTAAAAATTTTGAGTGAATAGTGAATACATCAGAATAATTAGGGATGTGGTTGTTGTCATATTTTAATATTTTAGTTGTCATAGTCCCCTCATATGAAACAGCCCCCTCGTCACAATGAACGATAGATCTGAAATCAAGCGTGCCATGATATTTATAGCTCTTTGATTCTCAGAAGCACAAAGCCTCAAACTGTGTTCGATTGACTTTATATGCATATATTTCACTTCCCAAAGCTGAAAGTATCGCTTTAAATATATTCTCTGTAGCTCAATAACACGGAACATGCGGAACGAAGGCTTACCAGAGATATCACACTCGTGCTCGTCACAGTGTAATATAGAAAAGTCCAACACAACGGAAAACATGTACCTCTCAAATAAATTGGACACAGAAACACGAAGTAGTAGTCGGAATAGACTGTTATCGAAGAATGATAAAAGCAAAGACACGTGCAAAATGTGTAGTAAAAGTGGATGCAATACAGCTTGTACGTCTGCGGTCGGACATGAGAAGTGTTACCTACTTGCAGATGAGAAGATAGAAAGGTTTCATGAAGTCGCACCAAAATGGGTGCAAAACCCGAATGTGGTTCAAAGAATTCTTGGGGTACAGCCTTGGACGTTGACCTCGTACTACGGTATACAAGTATGTTAAAATTTACATAAGTGCTACAACTTTAAACGTGAACTTTGTACTAGTTGGGCAAGAGTAAGACTTCTGGGAGAAGGGAGAAGCTTTGTTTACTACTATCAATATTTATAGAAAAGAAATCTTATGTCAGTCCTACAATGTACGGATGTCCTGCATATTCTCTCTGTCCAGACCTGTTGCCTTAGTTGTCCAGACATATTTCTTTGAAAAATGTGCTTCATGTGGGCGTATCTTTTTCGAAGACTCGGAAGGCCTTTAGTTGACTCTAGATGTGAATGTGTATCCTACTTGTATGCATATGAATACATCTACTGTTTATCAATGCATATAATCATAATCACTCACATGTGATGCGATTCTAGTACAAATAACAACTCTTGATCGAACAAATATAAATGAGTCGCAGTTTCAACGACTACTATATGCCATGATACAGATATAAATGAAAATTTATATATCTATCTATATATATATATGTGTGTGTGTGTGTGTGTGTGTGTGTGTGTGTGTGTGTNTATATATA